CATGAGTGGAGAGACGGATCATCAGAGCACTGGCTAGTCTGTTTAGACAAAACATTGAGCTTCTGGTTTTATGAAAGACCCCGTCTCAAGGGAATAATGTGGAGAGCAAGGGAGGAAGACATCCAAAGTCCCGCTCTGGCCTTCACATGCACGTGCACAGGTGCATACACTCACGTGCATGCAAAACACACACACACATACATGGTACTACGTGTTTCTAATGATCTTCATCCACGGTCAAATAAGAAAAGATTTTTCCATAACTGCATAAACCACAGTGAAGTAGCAAATAAAAGTTTCCACCAAATTCTAAGCTTTTTGAAATCAAGACCAACACAGTAATTCAATTTTTTTTTGTTCTATGCACAAGCGTGTGCCCACATTCTGATGCCAGAGGAGGTGTGCCATCCCCATCAGCACACTGGGGTCCCAGTATTGCTTTCTGTTGTCATTGTTGTTATTTGTTTGTTTTACATGAGTGCTTGGGATTTGAACTCATGTCCTCATGCTTGTGCGGTAAATGCTTGAGCCCATTGAACAGTCTTTCCGGAATGACTACTTTAATAGCAACATTCATGGATGCTTCAACTAGCCTGTCTTCATGAGCTGTTCAGCTGATTGGAAGAATACCTGCCAATTTGGGCAGAGTTTCTGCGATGTTACAATACATGGTCAAAGCCTGAATTTAAGCTTACACCTAACACAAAAGACATACGCAATATCTATATGAATTGTCTTTTGTGTATCTTAACCAAGACTTGGTATTTTTTAATATTTTGAAACCAAATTTTACTAAAGTTACCTATCATTCCCATGGAAGCATGGTGCCAGAACCAGAGTAGACGGGGAGGTAGGACTTAAGAGAGGGTTTCAGGTCCCTTTATACTCGTAATTTAAACATTAGAACCATGCCAGGGGAATACTGCCAAAAACATTCATATCTAAGTTCAATGACTTTATTTGAAAGGAAAAGGAGACAAATAGAGAAATAATCTAGGTAATCGAAGGAACACTTAATTAGCCAAATATGCTTTTTTCAAAAAGCTTCCAAAGGTGAGAAGCAATAAGCAGTCCTGCTCAGTTATGATGCTTATGAACCACAACAACCACCAGAATGCCGTAACAACCCTTAGGGTGCATTAGTGCCACACGTACCTTGACTTAATCAACAGGTTTCTGATTGGACTTAAGATCTTCCCAACAAGGGGGAAATTATGCCTGGTACTGGAAATGTAGCCAACTACCCATAGCTAGTGAAGTCATGTATCTTAGAGGAGAATTGTCAACCACCACTTTAATAAACCAGCATAATCTCTAAATTTTAAATATTTGTCCTTATACCCACAGGGAAGTATAGTCACCACCCTTCATCAAGGAAACTTCTTTTGCAATAGACAGAGACCACTACAGAAAACTATAATCAATCAAAATGCAGAGTTGTGGAGCCCAGGCCCAACAGACACAGCTACAAAACAATTCCCCCATACACCTAAGGCTCAGGGAACATTGAAGAGAGGGATGAAAGATTCTAAGAGCCAGAAGATCAGGGAGTTTTATGTGAGACTGTGTCCTAGTATTGTCAGAAGCTACACCCATGAGTCAAGTCTCACCAACATGACTGTGTAAACATGAGTTAAACAAATATACAACAATAGACATGTTAAAGTGAACATGCTAAAGGAAAATCCAGGAGGCCTCAACCCGAGACAAAAAACTATAGGCAACTAAGGAAAGCTGAGAGTGAGAGAAATAGCCTTCCCCAGGGAAGGGCATGCTAATTGGTTATCCAATACCAAATGGTCAGCACTAAAATGTACATACAAGTAACATTATACAGCCTATGTGGGTGGTATTAAGAAATGTATATGCATATACATATATTTATGCTGTGGGATGTTCTGTATGGCAAATGTGTTGCTAATTAGTCAATAAATAAAACACTGATTGGCCATTGGCTAGGCAGGAAGTGTGGGCGGGACAAGGAGGACAATAAAGCTGGGAAGTGGAAGGCTGAGAGTGAGACACTGCCAGCCACCACGATGACAAACAGCATGTGAAGATGCCGGTAAGCCACAAGCCATGTGGCAAGGTATAGATTAATGGAAAGGGATTAATTTAAGCTGTAAGAACAGTTAGCAAGAAGCCTGCCACAGCCATACAGTTTGTAACCAATATAAGTCTCTGTGTTTACTTGGTCGGGTCTGATGGCTGTGGGACTGGCAGGTGAGAGAGATTTGTCCTGACTGTGGGCCAGGCAGGAAAACTCTTCCTACATATTTACCCATGTATATTTTCATAAAACAACAAAGAAGGAAAAAGGTCATATATTTAAAAGATAACAAGGAGTATGTGGAAGGTTTTAGAGAGAGTAAAGGAAAAAGGAAAATGACGTAATTATATTATAATCTCATAAAAAGAAGTAATAAAAACTGAGGGTAGATACTGTTACCTATTAAATACTGCCTTTAAAATAAATTCTGGGGTATTCTCGAATGAATGAGAATTCTTAGTAAAACAAATTCAATAATTTTTGTCTTGGTAAAGGAACTACTGTTTTTATTTAAATTACTTTCTCGTGAAAGTTTTAAATTCACACAACATTGGAGAATCATTACATAGAGAAATGTTAATGCGCTCAGGCAGGCAATACAAAGGATTTATTAATAATTGTATTGAGCATGCAAATAGAATAGTTGTTAGATATAAAATTATACATATTTTACTAAAAATGTATTCAGCTATATAGTGATAAAATGACATGACATGGGTGTTTGTAAAATCTTCAGAAAACTGAAGACTAGAGAAATCAAGTCAAATAATATCATCAAAATAATTGAGTTAATCTGATGGTTTTCTGGGAATTTGGCTTTTTTTCTCTTTAACTCGTACATAAATTTCTCATGCTAAAGAGTTGTGGATTTTTCGATTCATATATAAACTAGAGGATTTTTTGTGTCATGACATTCAGTTTACAATCTGTCACTTATATTGAAGATTCTTGTCTCTGGTGTGGAGATAAATAAACTCATGAATGCACATAAAGTCCAATGTAGTAAGCACTTTACATTACCAGTTCAGTGAATTGCACTGTTGTTTTAAAATATTTTCCAGTGTTTTATAAGCAGTTGCATATAACGCATCATCATCTTCTTCATTTTAGAAAAGTGCTGTTTTTCATTGAAAATTCGACTTTTTAAATACCTAAGATATTACAACTCATGACTATTTTGTATCTACTACTTTGCATAAGTATGAAAGGTGTAAAATATAAAGGAGTTAGGAAGAGTTCTGATCAGAAGACATTAGGTCTTCATCACAGGATTCTGAAGTGATTTAAATTTCTAAACTATAAAATGTGTCCAAATTCAAGTCAAATTGTGAAATCATTTCAAAAACCTAATTATGATAATTTCAAACAGCACTCAATTGTGTCTTTCTAAACTAGCACATTTGGTTTTTAACTCATGATAAAAATATTTTGGGGAAAATGCATTTTAGGCATTTTCTGTAAAAATCTGATAAACTATACAAATGAAAGAAAATAATTGTTCTGGTTAGTTGATAATCAGCATTCCAGAGCTATAGCCCAGTCTCCAGAGTGGTTTTCTTCCTAGAATTGTATTCTCCAACACTTTAGCAACTCCTCCATCCTGTAGTTGGCAGGGATAGAAAGTTTCCTCTCTGGAGGTGACCTATGTGCTGCCCAGTGGATTAGATGATTGCATGGTTACAGTCCATTGGCTTTGATCCTGGGATGCAAATGTTCTCCTCTGCACTGTACAATTCCTCTTTGTCTTGGAGTCTGGTCCTTTGTTAGCAGCAAATACCCTCACTGTGGGCTTGTCACAATGATTTAGTAAAGGCATATTTTACAGAAATAAGAAGCCCAGTGGTGTAGCTGGAACTGATCAAAAGCCATCAGCAAGCTGATGGATTGTTGTTTATGCAAGATTGGCCTTGGGTCTTTTGGAGGAAGAAACCTCCCCATATACATGATAAAAGCCAATGCTTTGTCATAAAATTATGGTCTCTATAGAAAGGAAGGTAGTTTTGAATAAATTAATAAATGAATGACCCATGTCTTTGTAGAGCCTCTCATAGAACTTTCCATTCGTTATTTGCCTTGGCCGTTCATTGAATCATTTATTCTCTTGGTTCTCTCTGATGAGCATTTGGCTGTGTATCAGGGTTAAAACGAAAACGAGAGAAATAGTGCCTTTGCCTCCACAGATTTTAATTACAGTGGTGGATTCTGACAGGTAATCAGGCATCAAATGGTAGGAAGACAGTTATAGTTACTATGGTAACTGTGGCTATAGTTTATTTTAACAATCTAATATTCTCCTAACCGTTTACTCACTGGGATCATTGATAGTGCAAGAGTAGCAGGCAATATGACATTTTTCAGGTGAGCAGGGCCAACTCTTTCGCCCCTGTATAGAACAAGTTTTAAATGGTAGGTTAAGTAGCATCCAGGAACAGTCTTGTGATTCGACATGGGAGGAGCAACCTAGCTGCACTCAAGACAGGAGTTAGTGTACCAGCAAGGGAGCATGGGAAAGTTACAGAGACAGGAGTGCTAGTCAGATTCGACCTTCACTGGCACAGACTGGAGACTGTCAAGTAACATACCTATGTGAGTAGGAATCAAATAGTTAATTAATGTTAATTCTAAAGTCCTGACCCTTAGAAGGCTACCATGTAATTTCACATTCTCATCCCAGATGTCCTCCACTCTCCCTCGTGGTCTGTCGTAACTCTTTTGCTTTGAAGTGAGAGAGCAAAGGGAGTCAGAATATCGTAGCACACGACATCATTGAAACAGCAGCTATTTCTTCTGGCTGTGTTCTCACTGGCTACCTTATCTCATGTTACAATGAGGACTGCCTCTCTAAGGAAGAAGGGGGAATCTGTTGTGTTTAATGGCATATCGGTCTTTTTACAATTCAGTGATCCTTCCTGTCTATAGTAAAAAATCCCTCTCTTATCTGTCCCTAACAGCAAGAAGATATTCTCTGCTAATCAGAAGGCCTGACAAATGCCGTCATAATTTTCAAGCAATGAGCAGACTGGATGGAGGGGCAGGTAATGAGAAAAGCTGTGAAACATATAATTGATCCTAGAAATTTTAAAGTTGTTTTTACCAAGTTAAAATGTCATCTCACGGAAAGCCAAAGTTCTGTCACTCATAGAAAGCAAGATGTAGTGTCTGTAATATTTCGTTGATGAGAAATTTGCTAATTTTCAGAAAAGTCTGGGTACTTTTGACTCTATCTCTAGTTTTCTAAGTGATCTTAAAGTGATTACCTGAACTCTTTGGTCTCTAGAACTGGCCTTATATATCACATAAGGGTTGTAACAATTGAGAGCATGCTGAAAAAAATGGAGAGAGAGAGAGAGAGAGAGAGAGAGAGAGAGAGAGAGAGAGAGAGAGAGACTTTAGAAACACTTAAAACCAAATTTCTAACTTGAGGGCAATTGGTGGGAAATAGGTCGAAGGGATGGATACATAAGTCAGAGATGTTGTGTATGCTAGTCAAGGTTGGTTTGCTTTTCAATTATGTCAGTTTTCAGTCCATTTGGTCTTATTTGCCCAAAGTAAGCATATTGAATTTGAGAAAAAGGACCCCAATGATGTCCCTTTTGTTTGGGGGAAAGCACAATTCCTAGTCCTTTAGACAAACCCCCCTCTGTATTCTACAGCTGCGGGCATGTGGAGGCTTGCCAATCATTCACATGCAGGCCACATAGAAGCCTCCTTGACTGGTCATCTCCTGGCTCTCCCAGAATGAGATAAACACTTCAGAGTTCCACACACTGCCTGCCCCATGAGCAAAGCAGACGTCTCTGGAGAATAGGACACTGCTGTTTTGTTGTCTCCTGGATAGAAGAAGACAACCGTCAGTGTGCAGGGAACATGAAGATCATTTTCACCTGTTCTTATTTTTTTTCACTTAGCACTAATGATGAGAGAATCCCCCACACTTCACCTGTAGAGAGCAAAATGTTGTCAGTTCTGTTTTGTTTGACAGCCTGGAAGCCAAGAGCAACACATTCCCAGACTCCTGCCTTGTTAGAGATGCAAGGGCTGGCCTAAAAGAAGACTAGAGCGCTCAGTTCTATTTGAGTGGGCCAGGTACTGAAGTCCAGCCATCGTGGCCAGGCCATGATTCCAGCAGATTTTAGAGCAGATTCCCCCAAACTACAAAGCAGCATCTGCTGCCCCAGCCCCAGCTACATGCCAAGTGCTGTTCAAAAAGAGATTTCTGCCTGGGCCAGATGCAGCTCTTAGGACAAACGCATCTGTGCACTTTTTCTCACATAGCCAGCTCTAAAAGGTGAAGGGAGCTTCATGCCAACCCTAAGCTATAATGATGCCATTTGTTAGCTTGATAAATTTTGGAACAGAGTATAATCAAGTCATTATCCCAAAAATGTAAGCTTTTGTTTTTTATGTTTGCTTTTTTCCCCACAGTGATTCCTAGAATCAGACATCTCATAAATTACTATGTACTTCAGCCTTCCCCCCCACAAATCTTCTCCCTGGTTTAGGATTAAAACAAATTATTCCTTAAAAGAGGGATCCTCGAAGATGCCAGAGAATCAAACAAACAAAACACTGGACATGGTGTGATATGAAGTATAGGGTGGTTTCTTGTAAGTAATAAAATCTCTTGAATACAAGAAGTGAAACTGTAGTAAAATCAGGCACACAGGCATGCCCTGTCATAGTCTTCTGCAGTGAGGTCGGCAGAGAGCTTCAGATGACGTCACTTTTATTTTAAAGTACTAGCTGTGCCGTGTCATTTGGATCTTCATGTTTAGGGTTTTCATGTGTTCATTTTTAACCCTGAGAATTTGTTATGGACCTACTATTTGTCAGGTATCATAGAAAACGTAATAAAAGAGACACTGTTCTTAAAGAGTTCATAATTCTGTTTGTACCAGGAAATATTTCAATTAAAACTATATTGTTACGAACATAGAACAGATATATTCAGATTCCTAGGGTAATGCAGAGAATTAAATTGTTAAAATTGCTTGCTGTGCATCCTTTCCTACAGTTAAAAAAGAACACTTCCAAAGAATGTGCTCTGACAACCTCCAGTTGTGGACACTTCACCTCCACCAATAAAAACAGGACATAGTCTATAGACTGTGGATGTGAAAAGAAATAAGATTAGAAATTCACTTCAGTTCTGACTCATCTTTCATACAGAAATGAGATATTCCTTTTTTTAAGATTTATTAATTTATTATGTATGCAGTATTTTGCCTGCATGTACGCCTGCACGCCAGAAGAGTGGTTGCTGGGAGTTGAACTCAGCACCTTTGGAAGAGCAGCCAGTGCTCTTAACTTCTTAGTCATCTTACCAGCCCCAGAAATTAGAATTTGCAAAATGTATTACTCATAGAAGAACCTATCTAAAGCATTTTCAGAATTGAGCATATAAAATTGGGGAGGACGTTGGGGACATTTTACTGATGACTAGGTTGACAATCATACCCAGATGGCATGTGTCAATGAAAGAAGGGGGTTGTTGAAGAGTGCAGAGAATTCATTAGGATTAGAACACTCTCCAACACCGACCCTATATTTTCCCATCCCCGACTCTTGTCTGTCAGTTGTTTAGTTGGCTGGGTATGGCCAGGACAGGGCTTGACTTTGTTGGCTGCCCACTGTTGGCTTGCTGCTTTGAGATTATACTGCTGTGCACTTAGTTCCTAAGCTACAGAGGTAAAAGGGACAGAAGAAAGGAAATGAGTGTCTTGATTGTGTGTGTAGTCAGGAACCAAACTCTGTGCTGGATCCTGGAGAGGATGACAGTTCGTCTTTCTGTCTGAGTTGAATTCCAAGAGTGGTGCCCTGAGAGAATGTTCTCCTATTATTTACTCATAGGAGTTTGTACTTGGTCTGAACCAAGCAGTAGAGATTAGAGGAGAATAGATTATTTATAGACACTAGTTAGTGGTTTATTTTCTAAACAACCACCGTTTTTTATGGAAAGCAATCTTTAAACAACATTTATTTGCTAACAAGCTGGGTAGGAATTTCCATGCTCTACAGGATATTTTTTCTGCTTGGTTCCAATCATGTCTACCTTGATGTTTCAGTATCTCTGGCTAAAATTATGCATATTCTATTAAATTTACTCCTTTGGGGAAATGCATGAATGTGTGAATATAGGACCAGATGTAGTATCTTTTCTCTGGTTGGCCAAAATGTTTCCTATTCTCTTTACCTCTTTTGAAATAAAGCTACAAATCAGCTAGTGTACATCATGTAAAGGGGGGGGTGGATAAAGTACCCATTGTAATAAACCTATATCCTAACCACAGGCCCAAATGTTTGGATGAGCTTCAGAGAACCTCCTGCAGCCTTTGACCAAGGCCTGGCAGCTCCACACAGGAGTTCAGTAACAGGGACAAAGACAGCCAAACGTGCAGTGTGCCAATGACAGCCAAAGTGAGCTGGCAGAAGGAGCAGCCAGAATCCCATAAAGTAACAGTGCCAGGATAATAGAGGCCAGGGTGGCAGGAGGCAGAGACAGCTTCCAGGGAAGTGGGATTGTTTTTAATCACTTTTTGTAGTGCTCCCCAGTCTTCTTCTTTGTGACTGCATGTGGGTTGTTACAAAACCACATCCATCATTTCTTCTGATAGGGGTTAGAGAGCCAAAGAATGTGTGCAGCAACTTATTTCCAAGCAGGGTTGGGACAAGTATTGATATGAGAGAAAGACAGTATCAGGCTAGTCTGGAAAACTCACATCTCCAAATGAAGCACCCTATTGCATCCCAGTGATGTCTTCTAATGGCCACTAGGGTTTTAGTACAATGACTTCCAGCAGAGAGTAACAAAGTATATCAAAGAAACAATTTAATAAAGTTTACCTGAATGACGATGGTAATATTTGAATGCTTGGTCTCTGGTTGGGGAATTGTTTTGGGAAACTACAAGGAGTGGCCTTATGGGAGGGGATGTGACACAGGGGGTCGTCTTTGAGGTTTCAAAGGCCAGACCCAGTCTCACTCTCTCTACCTCATGTCAGTGGATCAGACATGAGATCTCAGCTACTGCTCCAGTGCCATGCCTGCCTGTCTGCTGCCATACTGCCCACCATGATGGTCATGGATACACCGTTGAAACTGTAAACAAGGCCTGAACTAAATGATTTATATTATAAGCTGTCTTGGTCATGGTGTCTCTTCACAGCAATAGAAAAGTAAAACAGAAGTTGGTACCAGGAATGGGGTATTGGCTGTGAAAGGCCTGTGCTGCTTTGGGGACTCGGGACCTTTGATTAGGAAAGCAATTGAATTCTGTAGGGAGGGCTTCATAGGCCATCCTAGTAGGAGAATGGGAGACAGTAGTGCTGAGAGCAGTGTGGACTACGGAGGCAGATCAAGAGGCTTCACAAGGCAATAATATTAGCAAATGGGCTAAGGATCATTCTTGTATTATTTTGGCAAAGAATATGGCTGATTTTCACCCTTGTCCTAAGGATTTTCCTGAGGCTAAAATGAAGAGTTTTGGACTAATATTGGCAGAAGAGATTTCAAGAAAACCTAATAGTCACTCTGTCGTGGGGTTAATTGCTTTTATGCAGGTCTAAAATGAAAGGGGTTAAAGCAGGGTGAAAAGAAATACAAAATGCACCATTGGAGAAGAAAAATTACACCCGGAGATTTAATGTTAGATTTGTTGGTGCTGAAAGAGATCAGAAAAAAAAAACACAGAATGAAGAGAATGTTGCCCTCTTCCAGCTAATCTTGCAACCTGTGAAAGGAAAGGCTCAAGGGATTTCCTCCACCTAAAAACAACAGAAAGTTTATGCAAATGTAATTTAAGTAAGGGGCCAGTTTCCAGTCCAAATAAGCAGAACTTGGCAGAATCAACTGGCCACATGTGTTTGGATTTAGAGTCATGAAGGATACAGGAGTAAAGGGTTTGTGTCCTCTTCCTCCATAGTTAAGGAAAGCTGCCCAAGTAAGCCATGTAGCAGAGGAGTCCTGCATGGAGGCCTAGAGAGGAAATTGTGTGAAGATATATATATACACACACATATGTGTGTGTGTGTGTGTG